GTAGATGAATAGGTGTTGAACAGCTGATAACAAAATTGCCTAATATATTTGTGGGGAAAAAAAGAACCCCAGTGTGGAAGTGGCACTGTTACCCTATAACCCCCCTGAGGCCAGGGCCAGATCCCCGCTCCTGTACATCCACTGACACCGAGGGTCATGGATGTTACTTGAAAACATGGCTGTTTTCTGCCCATCTTCCCTCTCCTCTAAATCACTGCACTGAACCCACAGTGAAAAAAATAACACAGCAAAGCTACTTTCCCAAGGATGAGGGAGTTTATTAATAAGCACAGAGTGATTTCCTTTGCACTGTAGAACACGAGACAGGATTTATAAGCAGTTAGATTCATGTAGTGTACATGTTTATGGAACACTATTGATGATTATCAATACAATTCATCTCCTAAGCACTTATTTAGAAAGATTGCAGTGATAAATTACTTATTGCTGGAGGAGATTATAAAAAGAGCAAGGAATTGCCCAGCCGTTGGCCTTCTGACTCTGCAGCAAAGGCTTTATTCAGGTAGCAGTTATGTTCTAACATCTACACTGCTTAATGCTGCTGAATTATTTACCATTCGAGGGCACATCATTAAAACAATACAGATTTGTTCATTTCTGCACACAGGGTTTTTAGGCATCTTTAGGATGTACTTGTTCCTGCTTACAAAAAAAATTAATTAGAGATACTTTAAATTCACTTGGAACTAGCAGTGAATTCAGGCTGATGCTCTGCAAGTGACACACGTTTCAAGCCGGGGCCCCCCGAAATCTCTGCAGTTTAGCAGTGGGCAGGGCAACAGGCTTTCCACCTCTGCTCTTTATCAGCTGGGGATGCAGCTTCAGTCATCCTGAAAAATGCACTTCAGCCTCAGACCATCGCCCAGCTGCCCAGTGGCACCTTTACATGCCACAGCACCGAGCAGGAGATGATGATGCAATTAAAATAATATGATGCGACCTACACAGACAACAGATGGGAGGCACAGCTCTCAGCCCAGACCTGCAGCTCATCGTGCAGGTCCTCAGTGCCAACAACTCATTTGTCCACTCTGCAAAGGCCCAGACCTCCTGGGATGGGGTGCTGCTGCCATGGTGCTGGCACAGTGCACCAAGTCCAAGTTCAGTGGGATTAAACCCACAGCAAACTGCCAATGGCAAACAGCACTGGCTTTAATGACTCCCAAGAGCTTGTCAATGCAAAACAGGAAAGTGGGGTACAGATGGAAGAAAAGGGCTGTTCAAAGACAGCCACAATGCAGGATGCTGCTTGTGCAGCAAATGGCACAGGGGTGTGGGAGTGAGTTCAGGCACTGCGGGGAAATGGTGGAGACAAGTATGGGATGGAGTCCCAGGGAACATGATAAAGAATGCTGCTGTGCTAGGGTATGCAATAGACAAATCCTTGGAAAAACAAGATTCAGCAACTTCATGGGGATTTTTTTCCCTTTACTTTTGTATTTTGACAGCTCAAGGGCAGTTGCAGAGGTTTGGGCATGAAAACATAATAAACCTGAGACATGCTGAGTTAACTACATAGTGAAAGAGAAGCAGTATCACTACATCTCCCATGAGAACCTCCCATTCCTCTAGAGGCAATCCATTTCTGCCTCCTTCAGACACATCAGCTCCTCCAGGAGAGGCGTGTTTGTCCTTTTCAGGTACCTCAAAGCATTGCAAGTCGCATTCACAGAAGTCAGCCAGTTCCTGCCATTTCTAAGTGCCTTCCATTGGCCAACCCCTAAGCGCTTTATGGAGGAACAGAGGCACACATGCCAGGAAGGTACCCATTTTAGGCTCTATGGGGTAAAACAGCACAGACAGTTCACTGCCTTTCTAAAATTCAAATTTCAAATCAAGCTTCCCTATTTCTTACTGCATGAATAGCACAAATAACAGTAATCAAGTTATTCAAACAAAGAAACAACAACACAACAAAAACAAAATCCTCCACACACTAGAAGTTACCCACTGCAAAACAAACAAAACCCAGCTGCTGACAGCTTTTCCCCACGGTAAATTTCCTCCTTTCCATCAGTGGCACTGCTTGTTCTGGAACACATTCAAAACAGTTCTCCTGGTACTGATGCTTACATGTTATAAATACATTTTATATATATATAATAATAAACAAGCATACTCTCAGCACTGGCACAGTACAAGAGAGTCCAGATTTCCAACGCTGATGTGAAACCTAGAACATAGGCCAGCAATGCTCTCATCCAGTTGCATGGGCTGCATCTCTGCTACTGAGCAGGCTCTGGGGTTCACCAGACTGCACGTCAGTGGGGACGCAGCTGGCTGAGTTTCCAGCCCTAAAATCCAGGGAAAGCATTTCAAACCATAAGAGGGCACAAACTATAAATACTGTTTACTAAATCCGTGTGCCGGGGGCTGACAGAACTTGACATAACCCTCGTGACATGCTCTGCCATGACCTCCTGTGGGAGATGGTGGGGCATCGTGTAATCAACCTCACTGCAGGGAGAACACAGCACTGCAACAGTTTTTCATGGAACACTGGCCAAACCATTTAAAATTAGACATCTGCTCATTTTACCCTTGCGTAGATATCTGTGAAATACAGCCAATGTTTTCACTAAATCATGCCTTGAGCGTTAGGCTAAGCTGTGTTAGATTGCTTGAGATCAAGCAAGTGAAAGAAAATTTGGTAATTACATCGGCCTTATGTAAAAACTACGTTATGGCCCAACTTTGCTGCAGTGAGAGTAAAGTATTTTCTTGGTGATCAATAAAATTCTGACCTCAGATACAGAAACGTAAATGCAGGGTGAGTCAGCTGCACCCAGAGGAGACACCTCACATACAGGCAGATCTGAGCCCGGCTCCTGTGTGTGGGGAGCAGACATCTGCCTTCTCCAAACACTGCTGCCAGACAAGAAAGCAAACGGGATACAAAGACGTGGAGAAGCAACTGGGATGGAGAGAAACACAGACTCAGACATCTCAAAAAAAACAGGTTTGTAAACTGATGGTAACAACGAGAAAACAAACTGGCATGGCTTACTGTAAGACTTGTAAATACATGTTGCTAAAGATTTCCTCAGCTGATCTATTCTCTTTTGCAACAGACAAAAAGTCAAACAGTTATGGTGAAAAAAATATGGTGCAGCTAATCAAGATTAATCAGCATTCTAACTCCATACTTCTGCCTCCCACTGCAGAAGGGTGACAATGGGAAGACAACATACACCACTGTAGGACTGACTGACCATAGACTGAACAGCAACACTGCTTCCATGGGAAAAATAACAGCAAAATGCTCTTAGCTTCTTTGAATGAGGACAATAGTAAAGAAAAAAACACATTACTCACCTAGGACAGTCTTTGGCACTTATCTGCCTACTGCTTTTGAGACCTGGAGCACCCTTACCATTAATGGCAGCATAACTGGGCAGAGCAGCTTCTCTTTTGTGATGGAGAACATTCAGACACACAGAACTAAAACAGACAGCCCCAAATGGCCAGTCTTGTGGAAAACAGAGCATCATTTCAGCATTTTCTAAATTAAAATCAGCACTCTCACCAACCATCCTTTGTCTCCCCTCTTGTGTTGGTATTAAAGAATTGAGAATTGGGAAAATATCCTGAAGCGTTACCTCAACATCCATTACTGAAAGTAAATTGCAGACTTTGGCAGCTTTCCTGGGAGATATTTAATAGCAGCTTCTATTTTGTTTGGTTATTTTAGGGCATCCTTGACTCCTCTAAACTCCAGAATGTTCCTTATTATTGTAAGAAAAAACACAGGGACTGTCATATCAAAGCTAATCCTGTGCGTGAGGAGAAGGGAAGTTAGTGAGCCAGTCTCAGCTATTGACACAACACTGTAGCCTTCAGGACATGAGGGTGAGGAATGCCTTTTATCGAAACATTTAGCACAACGGCAGGAATACAAATCAAGCTCCATTAATTTAGTTTTAAATATTAATGAGCCAGGATACGTAGTTTATATAAAGATTTACTTAATAAAATATTAAAATTTTTGCTAAAAGAATTGTAAATTCCAAGTCTATAAAGGAGAGTCAAGCACCAGAAGTTGTAAAAGACAGAAATAGCAAATCAAAGAGCATCAGGATTCAAGAAGAGCACAACACTGTGGTTAGTCTCAAAGGCTGCACCCTTGGTAATCCACATTAATTACTGTTTGGACCAGGAGAGGAAAGCCCTTCTGTAGCAACTGGCATTCCACCTTGGCTTTATGCCATTTCTGTTGCTGCAGAACAGTCAGATTGGACGGGAGGAATCATCTCTCTGCTTTTGTGACAATCTGTAGGGAGCCGAAGAGCTACGTGGTTAACCAGCACATCTCCATGTCCATGGGGCACATGCACAATGTCAAGCAGGGAGCCTGAGCCCAGATCTCTGGAGATCTGTAGGCCAGGGACCTGTCATCACCCTCATGTGGATAGAGCTGACAAGAGCTCCCCGCTTTCTCAGCCAACAGTCATATTTGTTTGTTCATCTGGGCAACATCAAAATGTCTGGGGAATCTTTGATCACCTATTCTTACATCCTTACTTTTCTTTCAGGCATCGTTACAAAAGAGATATCTCATTCATATGGATATATTTCACTTAAAAGTAACACAGGAAAAGTGACTCACTCAAGAAATACTTCATTTCAGCTTTCTTAAAAACAGAAAAACTGAAGAGCATCCACAAATGAAAGCCCATTGGTTTCAAACCACAACGCATTACTGGTTCATTTTCCAACGTGGCAACTGGGGACTCCAGACATGCAAAGGTAATAAAATTTGCATGACTGCCTGATGTCCTTATCTGTCTGAGGAGCTTCGGTACTCACAGCACAGATAAAAGGTCAGGAGAGATGCAAGAAATAATGCACTGCACAGCTGCAGAGAAATAGTAATTACGTTACTTCCTGCACGGTGGGGAAAAAGGAAAACAGAACTAAACCATTTAATCACTGTACCTGAAAGCAAACAAATGAGTGAGGAAAAACTGGCATGGACTCACATTGAGCTGGAGGTCATCTGTCCACTGGCCGACGAGGCGGTAGCCCGGGGTGCTGGTGTTGGTGGTGTGGTACTGGAAGATGTCGTAGCGCCCTGGTGCATCACCATTTTTGTTAAACATCACTGGAGTGCCAGCACTGCCTGGGGGAAGGAAACAAGACCAAATCCAACCAAAAAAAAAAAAAGAAAAAAAAAAAGAAAAAGTCAAAGCTTTACAGCAGCTATTTTATTTAGTCACGCCTGGGAGCTTTCAGACTGGCAGTGTATTTCAGGCATTGGTTACCTATCACCACGCCATCTAATGCAGATACTTCAGGACACGCTGGAATAATCCTAGTTCTCTTCCCTGATTAATTACTATGCCCAGGCCCACTGACTAAAAATAAAATGAAGCAAAACCAGATCAGTTTTCCTTCACTCGAGCTTTGCAAACAGCAAGAAATATCAGAAGGCTTTTCTTCCTGCCCTCCAGCCTCCCTCCCCATCTCTCTTTCCTTAGGGAGTTCTTTACTGAAAATCACACTTGTGAATGGAGCCTTTAAATGATTCTTTTTCCCCCAGAAAATGTTCCATCTGCTTCTGAGAGATACTGCTGTCAGAAGTCAGCCCAGGTCTAGTGAATCTTGATTGGCATCCAGAAATAGCTTCCTCCTCCACAATATGTTCTTATTCCTGTAATCAGCATGCAGTTGGGGTGGAAAAGAACAGACTAAACTATAGGAAGATCATTCCTTGTGTGCTCCCTTATTGAGTCTCTGTGAAACTGACACAGGCTGAAAAGCACCTCGGGTTGGAGCCATTCAGATCAGGATGCTGCATCAACTTCACCTGCCATGTTTCAGGGTAACCAGCACAGGGCTTGGATGCAGGGCAGCAGCAAAGCAGGCATCCCTCCAAAGCCCCCCCATGCTGCTGCTGAGCAGAGCTGCCTAGCACTGACCGCCAGTGCTGCTACCAACCATTCCCAATCCCTGCATGCTCCCCAGGGCACCTGCATCTTAATTGCCATGGTGTCAGAAGTGAACCCTTTCCTATAGGAGAACGTAGAGCAGTGCTGCGTTTCCTTTAAGGGTCACAGTTATTACAACATACATTAAAATAGGCTTTGGTGTGGCAGAGTAATATTGTGTCAAGATTGAAGATTTCAGCTCTAGGATCTCTATATTCAAAGCTGCTTCCTTCTGCATAACTTCTCTTTTTTTTCCCCCAAAGCAATGAAAAATCTCTCCTGCAGTAGCACTGAACTTTAAGATTATGGTTTTCTTCATGATTCCCATTCTTCATTGAATTCCAGAGAGCAAAAGAAAATTTAAAGAAGTAAATTAGCATAGTTTTCATTGCAGCCCTGGTAAATGGCTTCCTGTCTATCCTGCAAGCCTCAGAGATCAGATGTGGATTCAGTTCAAAGGCTGGTACAGAAAATCTTCCACAGAGATCTCTCTGGTTCCTTATGAGCACAAAGCTGATATTTAATTGTCATTACAGATTCATGCACCCGGAACACATCTATAATGAAAATGCTTAGAATGAAGAGGAATGGCCATAACTCCGTAACTCCTCGGCTCCTCCTGAAAGTCAGCACAAATGGGAAATGGTGTTTTGCTAATCACGACTTCTAAAGGGCTGTATATTATTAGTGAAGCTTGTTTCTGTTTTGTTTTGTTTTTCTCCCAGAACTGATAAAAATAAAGGTGCAATCCAGAGCTACTACTCCAAGCTGTGCTGTTTGTGTGTTGTGTGGGAGCAGTAAAACATTTTGTCCATTCCTGCTAATTGTTGCACATAGGCAGTTTTTAAGGATTACTTTGAATACCACCGCTGAAGAGCAGTGCTGTACATGGCTGCTGTAGGACTGCACGGGACAGCATCAGTGCTGGGTCACCTCCACAGCACAGCTCCTGGGACAAGCACTGTTATGCACTGATGTGGGTACCTGACTGCAGTGCACACCTGTTGCTGTCTACATGTCACCACCATTTCTGCTGTGGAATCACATAGGAAAAAAAAAGAAAAACAACCTGTGAAACAGGTTGCAAACTGCAGGGAAGACAACCAGCTATAGAAATGCAGGATAGTCCCAGGCCAGAAGTCAAGTCAAAGCCTCCTGTTTTCCAGCTTTGAAGTTGGAGTAATTGCACTCCCAGCCAAGGACCTGCTTTGTAAGCACCAACCTTCTGCAGCCTTTGCTGGGCTCTGCCGTGCGCTGGTGCTCTGTCTGCAGGGACGCCATCGCTCCCATCCTGCTCTAAATCACTGCAGCACTTCAGCCTGTATGTGCAGTTCCAGCTCCTTTGTGCACTCGTGAAAATAAGGGATGCATGAAAACCTCCTCACACAGACAAAAGGATTTCCAAAATTGATTCCATTTATTACTTGACATCTTGATCTTATAATTATTACAATATTTGGTTGATGAGCTTTCACTTTTTTTTTTTTAAATATAATTTAGGATTTATTTTCCTTCTGCTAAGATTCACACCATTTTGCTACAGCTCCAGCAAGCACTTCAGAAACTGAGCAGTAGCCTGCAGGCTGCAGCTCCTTGCTCATTCAGAGGCTATGACAATTTAATTCATCTTCAGCTCCCAACAAATAAGCTGTCCTTTCACCACACAGATGGAGAGCACATGACACCCATTCACCTGCAGGATGCATCCGAGAGGAGATGCAATCTGACTGAATTTGTAGAATTTCAATCCTTTAATCACCACAAGATGAGAAATGAATTAATAGGAGGAGGACAGGATGGCAGGCAGGTGTGCCTAGCCAAGGTGTTTCTTTATTATTCCATCCACGTTGACTGCGGTTTGAGGACCTGAAGGGCTCGGATGAACAAAGCCTTCAGCTTTTTCACTGGGGAAAAATACAACCTCCACTCTGCACCATAGGATTTTCAGAATCCTACTGCATGAGCACTTGGAGTTTTAAGTTTTCTGTATTTGGAGGCTTTCTGTTCTAAAGATAATGTGACAATATCAAAATTCACACTGAGCTCCTCGTACAAATCCAGTCTCTCTTCATTAAAACGTTGCTTGAGCTCCTTCTGCGTGAATGTCATTACCTTTGCAGGGAAGAAAGGGCTTTGGAAGCAGTTTCAGACGAGATGGCTTCAGCTTCATCGTGACAGAGAGAGCCATTAAATGCACTGAGATCTCCAGCTCATGGGCTCAGGGTGGGCTTGGAAATGGGCTGCATTTTTTCTCTCCAGCTCACAGTTCAGGCAAAGCACCCACTGCTCTGCTCTGCTTCTACTACAAGTTTAGGTAGAGAACTGGCAGAACAAGATTTTAAGCGCAGACCAAATATTGTTTTCCAAGGCCTACCTCTGATGGAAAGAACTGCATGGCTGCGCCAGCGACCTAGAGAAGGGCAGGATAAGGGCAAGGATAACAGCAAGGCTGCTGAAGCAAACCCAGCAGCCCCACCACAGCGTGGTGCCAAGGCAGACGTGGGCACCAGCACTGCTGTCCCCAGGGCTCCCAGGCCTTACCACGACTGCACTCACAACCCAGACCTACGAGTGCCTCTCTCATTGCTTCTGCTCCCACATCCACCTGCGTTTGCAGGCTGGCCGCTCAGTGTCTTACATGGCAGCTGTTGATCCTAGGATGGCTGAATGAAGGGACTGCAATTTTGGGGAATTTACTTTTATACAGCACAGAAAAAAGCAAGCGCTGCAGAACCTGTCTCCACATTCCACCCTCAGATAACAACCCTTACAGGGTTCTTTTCCCACTGGAAATGTCCAGGGCTAAATAGCCGTGAGCAGTTTAAAGGTTTTAAGCCTCTCTTCACTTTGCCACCATCCTCCTTCCTCCAGTAATAAAGCAAACTACTACTTCAAGTCTCTGTGCTGGATGCCACTTACATGTATGCAAACAAAGAAAAACACCACATGGCCATGTAAATCAATCACAAATGGAGGAAGAAAAGTCATCTTTTAAAGGATTGACCAAGAAAACACAAAGAAGGAAACTAAAATTAGCATGCACCAACTCTGGAAGCTAGGCAGTAGGAACCCAGTCTCTCAAATTATTTCTCAGCTCTATTAAAATGGCTCCTGGTTAAGCCTCAGATCTTTATCTTATTCAGAGATAGGGCAGAGCAGTCAGACCTCCTGGTACACACATTAGCAATGTTTATGAAGAGGAAATAACATTAGGTTGCTGTAATGCTACCCCTGCAAGCAATCAGCTCTGGTCCCCCTCTAGTTGCAGGAGAGTGTTGGCTAATGAAACTGTAATAAGATTACAGTAAAACGTACAGAGGCAGAGAAATGTTCCTAATATTCAGGTCTAATTCATACAGTGCAGTGCAAATAAAGATATGTGAAAGCCCGTCGTGTTGTATGAAACACAGGGCTGCTATTGCAGCCATTACCATCCACTGGTAAAAAGTTGGTAGATAAACAATAAGCACACAAAAGGATAAAGTCATCCCATCCCCACTCCTATGATGTTACAACTCCTCTAAACACCTACCGGAGGAGTAGAGGTTGGGTAATTACTCTGTCTACATTATGGACATGATTCTGCAAATGGACCTGGCTCTTTGGCTGTCCTCTCTTCTCCTGAGTGCTGAGCTAAGTCAGGTAAGATACCAGAATTTCTTCCAGTTAGCTTGCTCCAAATACAGGAAAGAACACAAATGGGGACAGACATATTAAGACGAAGAAAAACTTGAGCATTTACTCTGCTATTTCTCCCACAGGAAATCACAGGCTTTGGGAAGGCATCCTAGAACAGCAGCAGCAATTTCTGTCTTTGCAGAACAGTAGCCTATCTAGCTCAGCTAAAGCAGGACGCTTTCAGATGCTATATAGACACGGTCTTCTACCACAAACTCTACTGAAATTGTAAAACAAAAGCATCACCTGAACGGAATGAATAAATACACCGGGTGAAACCGAATGGAAAGACAAGCCATGCAGGCAGGGTGCTACAGCTGGAGCAGCTCTCACTCACCGTTGAAGTTAACGCTGCGGATGTACTTGAGCAGCTTCTTGCCGCCTGCGTGCTCCATCTCAGGGCAGACCCCGGCGTAGTCAGCACACAGATCCTTGCTCATGTGGTGCAGTGCGTGTGCCATGGCGTACACAGCATCGATCACAAACTGCACCTTCCCCTCCTGCTCGTAGTGGGAGTCCTTGCCGATGCGCTCCTGCCCTGCACATCACACACACAGGACAGTCAGGTGCGGTGCTTTCTGCTGTCTCTTGGAGAACGTGGAAAGCAACGTGTGTTTTAGGCAATACAGTAAGAACGTTATGATTTTACTAATTAAAACAAATTAAAAAAGAAAGGTATCTTTCATTCTTGACAGCAGAATCATCAACGCTTGCAAGTTACTCCACAAATCCTACCACTATCACAAACTCGAAGCTGTAACCCAGAGGGACCACCTCAGACAGAGAACACCAGGCTCTGCGTGCTCCCAAAGCGTGGCTTTGAAAGAAGAAAGCGTTTAAAAATAAAGCACAGCTGGTATTTTAAAGTCTGATGGTTTGTTGTGCTCCAAATCCCAGTCTCTAATTGAAAGTCACAGCCAGACTGGGGGAAGAAAGCACCACTTCAGATGCAGCCAAAGGGGCACTCCAGAGAACTGTGCGAACACGCCTGCTATTAGCACAGCCTCGGGAAGCTCCAGTTGTTTGCACTAACTTACACCCCTTCCTGTACCTACAGAGATTGAAACATCCTTTAGAATCCACTGATTGCCTTTAAAATGTTATGACAGCTGAGAGCGTAAGGAATGCAAACCCTCCATGCCATATGAACTGCAGCAGCTTTGGCAGTCGCCTGTCACCGCAGCACCCAGCATAGCAGGATGCACAACCTCAGTGCTCCTCTCATCTGCTGGGACATCAAACCCAAGAGACAGGAGAACTGTTTTGCAGATGGAAAATGGGAACTCAGAAATTAGGCCACAGAGACCCAAGGTGCTCAGCAGCAGAGATGAGTGGAATGCAATATTGTAAGTCGTGGGCTTGCACCCTAAGCATTTACTGGCAGACATGAGACACAAGTATAACCTGGTAACATCACCTGGTAAATGCAGGCAGTAAGGCAGCTTTCTTGCCATTGCCATAGAAGCAGACAACTGCTGCACAGCAAACAGTACTGCCAGAGCATAAAGCAAGGCACTACAGAGATATGGGAGCCTTTGAGTTTTCTCTGAAATTGCCCACTAACACCTTGTCTTGCCTTGGCCAAGTAACACCTGCATAATTCAATCTGTCTGGCTGCCAAACATGCGATTATACTTACCCATATCACCGGGGATTTGTGAAACATAATTACTGCTTGTTCAGTGTCCTGAGCTGTGCAGGGAAAGCAGCAGAAGTGCAATCCATTATTTCCCATGGGCGGCAGCACGGCAGCCCAGTTGTTCCACCAGCCCTGCCTGCTCTCCTGCAGGGCTGGGCACGGACAGAAGCACGGACAGAAGCACAGACACAGCTCTCAAAACTGCCCTGCAAATGCCTTAGGGATTTTCAATCAAAGAAAATACTCATGTTGGGGACAGAAGAGGGAAAAGATGCTTTTGTAACACCACAGTGCCCAGCAGCCTGCCCTGTGCCAGCTGTGTGTCTTCCTGCACTGCGCTCATTGAGGGGCCGGGCACCAAAAAGGAGCTGGGCCACGCTGCCAAGATCACACCACGTTCACACAATCCCTTTTTCCTCCTTTGAGAAGGGTGGTGGTGGTGGTGGACTGGAATTACAAATGAGCACAGAGAGAGCACCGTCTTCCAGAAATCCTACAAGCACAAGAAGTGCCTTACCCTGTCTGCAATAGGGAGGACCTTGAAAATAAATGAAAACACAACCCCCCTGTATGAACATCTTAATTGCCTACACTTTTTCCCCGTCGTAGTTTCCCCCTCTAACCACCATCGTGCACCACTGAAGCCTCATCCACTCAACCTGTTTTGGCTGAGATTCCCTCTACCAAAGCCTCAGTTTTGCATTTCAACTATGTTGGAAACACTGAAATTCTGAAAATAATTCAGCAGAGTGAGAGCTTCCAGACTGTGAAGATTCACATACTGTCGTTTTCATTATTTCACTCCCCTCTCATTGATTACAGACCTTATTACATCTCCAGCCCTGACAAGGAAAAAGCTTTTAAGTGGTTTCAGCTCAGCTACACTACCAAATTAGCAATGCAACAGAAATGTATGCCAAGGGAAGAGGAGCTGGGATTGAAATTCTGCACACAAACAATACTGATTAGGCATATTAAGTTCCAGAGGCACAGTTGGCTGAACGCACAGCAAAGGTATCTGCAAGAAACCTGAGCAAAACGAGCTTAAAAAAAGGAGCAATATTAACAATACCCAAGTATGAAAGTCTCAGAGATGAACTGGATTTGAAAAACATAATTGAGTTTCCAGTAACAGGGATGAAATCTGCTGCAAAGAGCCATTCTGCTGAGTACTACACACAGTTTGTGTACAGTCTGGATATGGAGTCAAATGCAACTCCCCACCCAGAAAGGCATGCATGATTTCATTTACACAAGAGGAGATCTTGCACTAACAGGAGCATAGTGCTCTTTTATAGAAACACAGACTGAGCTGCCTTTGAACAGATAGGGCACCACGGCAAGCACAACTTCAGCCTAAATTTGATTTGGCAAACGTCCTTCAAAACAATAGCCATGTTTTACACAGCAAACTGCCTTCAGACTTCATTACTTAGAAAACTCCATGTAAGTGGGTTCTCTCCTGCTCCCTCTAGCTGACACCAAACCAACATCACAGCAGCACATCAGCAGACTGATGCCTGAGGTTTGCTTTCAGACACGATGGGCACCAACTTAACTGCAACTTCAGCAGTTTTATTTTGGTGAGCATTTTGCTGTCTTGGGTTTTCCTGGAGAAGCCAAGCAGAAAGTTGCATACACTTCGGGAATAGCATATAGGGGTGCATACACATTAAATTATTAATTATTCCTGGAAGAGAAGAAAACCCACAGAAGACATTAGCTTCCTGCAGACAAAAGCAGCAGTACCAGGAGCTTCAGCATCGGCTGTGTACATCTCCCAGCAGAGGGGCAGGCCTGCAGGCTGCGGGGCACTGGGGGCCTTGGAGGAGGCAGCAGATGAACTCAGGCATCAGGTGCAGCAAGAAACTGAGCAATGCCTCGTGTGTGACTGGGAGACACCAAGCAGCACAGAAGGGAAACAAACCCCATCTGCACTGGGGCACCCAAATCTTCTGTGCCTTGATCCCTAAAGAGAGCTTTAAAAAAAAAAAAGCCGAACAACCCAAACTTGGTGATCTTCAGGGAACCACACAATAACTTTTCCTTCAAGAATGAGGAAGATGGCACCTGAGGCACACGCACACAGAGTGACTGGGAGAGAATGCACTTTTGTGCCACAGATTTGAAATGAAGTACGTGGGGATGTCAGGAAAAGGGAGAAACACAAAAGCAATTTATCGACATGAGGATTTTTTGCTTCCAAAAGATCTGTATGAAGGTGATGACAAATAATTTAACCTCACTTCCTACTACAGTCTCAAGTGCTCATCATCATGATTCCTAAGAGACTGAGAGATGGGTCTCTTGCTTCAGGCAAATCTTCGCAAGAGAAAAATACTGCAACAGAGCGAGAGAAAAAGAACCAACAACCACCACCCACCAGAGCAGCAAGAATACAGAGAGGAAGAAGTCCTCGTATATAATCTCCTTCAGAAGTGAAGAGCAGCTTTAAGAACTCATGGCTGCACTTTTTGCATCACCATCAGGGTGATGCTTAACACTCCCTCCTATGGGAAAGGAGCTGAAAACCTTGTTTTTCATGTTTTCCTCTGCATTTCTCCTTCAGATGATTTCTCTAGACTCATCACCAGTATTCACAGAACGCCAGCAGTGTGATACAAAGTGTAAAGCATGCTGCAAGGACAATTTCTGTGGCATGTAATTCATACAATGAACAGACTTCAAAATCCCAATTAATCAGCTCTTACAGTAGATGAATGCAGACGTTGGTTCAGTTTCTGGAGGATTAAGCACATTTTCAAAGGAACTTAACACAATAATACTGTTGAGAACCTGCTGATAGCCATCATTAACAAGAGATGTAATTGAAAGATTGCAGAACGCTTGCAGGATGGAGCAGGCAGCCGCTATTTGGACAAGAACTCATCAGCTGGCTGAGTGCTGGCAAAACCACGCACACTTCCCACGTCCAGAGCACAGTTAGCAGCCTCACAAACCTGATGCCTGATAGCCAGGAGATGCCCACCATGCAGGTACCAGTCTGCAACTGCCCATACACCGCCTCAGCCACTCTGCAGCCGCCTCCTCCGCCTCATCCTGTGCAGAGCTCAGCAGTGCAGCTGCTCCTGCTGTGCCCGTGCCCCTCACAACAAGCTCAGCAGCACAGAACAGCTCTAACAGACAAAGACGTAGACCCCGGGCTTGTCAGAACAAGGTCAGAGCTATTACTCCTCCCATGTTCTCTCATGGAACAGGCACTGCTGTGCACACAGGGGCTGTAGAATCTGAAGGTTTTCTCCAAATAAGATCTTTATTTGAAAGTAGACAAATATCAGAGTCTGAGAAAAGCTAACAATGTGCGAGAGTAAATATTGTAATTTGAACATGAGGAGAACGACAATCAGGCCCCTCTGCAATATAATCCACGTATTGTCTTTTTACAAAGAAATTCAAGATCCAATAATGCTGCTATGTAGTTACAGTCATCTATCCAGTCCATGCTAATTCAGATCTCATTATAGACAAAAGCTTTTATCTCAACACTATCAATCCAATCGCCATGGATTCTGTTGAGGGAAGTAGATGAACTCTCAGATTTCTCCTGCTCTTTGAACAAGAACATCTCCCCGTGCTCGGACCAGACCTGGCACACGGCACCACCTCATGCAGACCCAGGGGCAGAGGCACCAGCCAGGGCAGCCCAGCCCAGCCAGCTGAGCACCTGCCTTGGTGCTGAGGCTCACACCTGGGCCCTGCTGCCCCTTCATCTGCTGTACCCCTCCACGTCAGCATGGCTCTAGAGCTCCTGAAGCTCTGCTTGGGATGGGAAACTTCATACTGCACACCAGACGTACCAATCAGGACAATTGGTCTACACCAGGAACAAGCGGGGATGACCTGTACAACTAGAATATGTGTTGTACACTCTAGATCCA